ATTTTCTTTTTCTGTTATTGTTTTTCGCTTGAATAATTAATTTTTTTCCAATGACAAGAAAAAAAAAAAAAAAAGAGGAGGGAAGAGAAAGGTTTTGCACGTGCGGGGCCTTGTGGGCCACTCACCCAAATCAGATATCTCGTAGTTTTGTCTTTTAGCGAAGCTTACTGGGCTTCACTCGGCCTGTTCGAGACAGCATTACACATTTTGACGGTTCAGTTCAGTATGCCCATTTTTTTTATTCGCTTTTTTTTTTCCTTTCAAAATGCTCATTTTTTTAGTAAATTATTTGGGTTTTTTTTGTCATTTTATTTCGTTTTTTCCCTCGATCTTTAAAAAATTATACTCACAAAATTTCAATCGTTTATATATGATTTGGTTCATATTGATTCGGTTTTGCATAACCTTACCGAAATGGCCACCTTAATCGATTGCAGAACAAACTTCATATAAAGACGTAATGTATAATTTGGTAGTTCTAAAATCATGTAAAATCTTAATGTATAATTAGTTAGCAGTTTCATCTTTAATTTTTAAAAATGTGTTGTAAATTTTTTCAGTGGGGTTTTATTAGTGATTAGAGAACATTTATTACGGACTTCTATCATTACGTGTTATACTACTGTATTGGCTATTGATAGTTATAAGATAACCTAATATATTGATTAATTGTTAATATTATTAATTTATATAAAAAGGAAGAGCTGCCTGCTTTATGTACGATGGAAAGTAATTAGGGTTCAATGAATGGAGAAAAAACTGCAAAGAGGATAATAAATTTTTTAAATTCACAATATATATATTATAATTAGAAGACAACACAATTAAGAAAGCAACGAAAAAAAAAAAGAAAAAAAAAGCATGATTTTAGGGGTTTTGGGATCTGTGTACTATTAATGAGAATGATGATTTGTTTATGTATTATCGCCACTTAGATATGGGTCTACCAATTATGATACACACATATGTAACCACATATATATTACATAAATATGTGCCTAATTATCGTTAATTCTGAGTAAAGTTGGGTCATGATTAATAATTAATGAGTTTGCTTTTATTTATTTATATTAGAATGTGCTTAACTCCTATTTATATATGCTTGGTGTCGAATGTCTTTCTAGAAGAAAGCCAAATTAGTCAAAGCAGATTGGACTATCGAATTCGTCGAATTTTAATTCATTATATCAACGGTCCCGAGCTTGCGTAAGCGAGACAACGAAATAACAAACAGTTTAATAAATGTGCGGTTAATTGGCTTAATGACTAATCACCCAATTAAGGACTAATTAATTGGCTTGTTGAATTACGTAAAGAAATTATTGCCCCTCGGGAAAATATTAGTTCCCGGTATGGCTAAACCTCTACGACGATATAGCAAGTCATAAATGCGTGATTATACGTATACGTACATGAATATATACGTCTGTTTGCGTATACGATCGTCAACTCTTACACGCGTCACCAAAACCGCCTCATGAATATCATATATGAGCATGTCTTATTCGTGGAGCAACAAACTAACGTTTAATCACAAAATTAAAGTTAAAAACATTACTAATAAATCATATAATACAACCGGAGAATTTAGGGGTTGTATCCTTTAGACAAACGCAACAAAACGTGGTAATAGAAAAGTGGCTAGGATTAGGGTTAAGTCTTGGAACATAGTCTAATTAATTTACATTTTTCGTTTTAATGATATGATTTGGCATTATCGGGAGGAATATATATTATACATAGAAAGGCAAATATATAGTTTATTTATGTTGTATCCATTTCAATTAAGAAATAATTCGAATAGAATAATGCGATGGTCGAAGCATGAACAAGGAAAAAAACAAAAGAGCACAGCCTTTGATGGGCTAAATTCGAGGAAGAAAAATAAAACGACATTGACAAGTTTCAAAAATGATCGATTATTTTATGTATTATTTTAAATTGATTAAAAAACAATTTTTATTAAATGAATCAAATTAACATTCTCGTTGGATTTAACGAGTCGTGGCTAATACGACAATGTGTCGGCTTCATTCCTTTTTTAAAATAGTTACCTTTCCTTTTCTATTTTTATATTTTTTTTACTTACAAAAAGGACAAATCACTTTTTTTCCCTTCCTTTTTCATTAATAATTTTTAGTTTCTCGTGGACGGTTACCTTTCGTGAAAAAGCTAATATTGAAAAATTAAAATTATAGCAATTGTGATTATTCAATAAAATGTATATACGCATGCACACACAGCCACATACAATTGTTTGCTCATTCTCAATTTACATAACAAAGGTACGACAGGGTTTTCTACTCATAAGAGTACACAAAATCTTGTTGCTAACCCAAATTTGATTGTTCAGTGAAAAGGGAGCGCAAAAGGTATGTCATGCCCCGAATTCGAATATCAATATTAGAGAGAGAACGTATAATCCAAATCACATAGCTGATTCTCGATTTCGGAATTAGTCTGAGCCTTAGTTTAAGATACCTGATTATTCAAAAAAAAACTTGTTGCTAAAATTTTCCTATTCTAAATAGGATTACACTCTCTAAACTGATATTGGATCATTAAATTTGTTACACCACGGAAACGAAAAATAAAAAGAAATGAGGAATGAATTTATTTATAAAAAAAAAAACCGGAAAACAAAGGAGAGGAAGACAAAGAAAGAGGAATTTGGTGCTTGGTGTTTGTAGGCATATTGGTAGGAGAAGAAAGACGAATAAAATAAGAAAGAGGGAGGGAGAGGATTTTGGAATATAAATGGGAAGAAACGACACTTCCTCTCCGACAAAGATCTTGTACGGTCACGACAAGGCCCATGCATCATCACCATCGTCATGCCTTTGCCGTATTATTATTAGTGTTTATAATTTCACGAGGTTAATTAATTGCCTTATTGTACTCTCTTAATTTTAGTTATATGACGTCTTGTTTGGATTAAGCAATGGTTTAGCCATGGAGTGTGAATTCAAAGGAGTTCTTATTATATATATATATATATATATAATTTGCTAGTTCCAAGTTCCAACATCAGGATTCGGCTCGAGTCCAAGGCTTATACACTTTCTATATAGTTATCATTTCACTTGCACTTATCCATGTTTTATAGTAATTCACAGAACGGCTTATACTTTTGTAATTATAACTATAAAACGATTAGATTTGTTGATTAGTATTTAAATATCAGATTATGGGTGAATAAAACTCCCAATTATTGGTGTGTGTATACATGTGGCCGCCTGGAACATTCAATGTTTTATAATGCAAGAAAAGATAATCTAAACCAAGCAATTAGAAAATAAGCGCTTTTTATTCACATATTACACTTTTATATATGTGATAGTATATATAAATTATGTGATTATACGGAAAGATGGTATGTAGATAGAGGATTTCTTGAAAATTGTAGTCATTCTTTATCGAAGACAGAACATTAGGGATCTCCAAACCCTAGATATTGGCTTCTTCAAAAAAAAACGGTCTTTCTGCCTTTGTATCACCGGATTTTCTGAAATTGTGCATGCAGACAATCAGATAAAAAATCTTTGCATATATATATATATATATATATATGTATATGAAAAATTTCTGAAAATTAGTTGTGTGTATATAAAAATAAAATAGCATGGAAATTTATGTATCTTAAAAAGGCAGTATCATTTTTAAATCACTGTAGGCAATGCAACAAAACAAATTATTATGCCACGACCGTGTCACGATGACGAAAGCATTTAGTCATATTCTAGCCACATTTTATACAATCGGTTTTTTTCCACAGAAATGTTTTCCTCGATTGAAATGAGTGGTGCACATAAACTCGTATTTTAAATAATACTAGCTCCTTTTTTGGCCCACACTACCATGTTCTATTAAAGCGTATATATAGTTTCTCATATATCGATATAATATATATATATATATATATATATATACGTATTATAAGAGTGTAGGAAAGCCAAATAAAATGTTGGTTCCTGAATTAGAATGGATAAACTTTCGGACATGTGGGTTCCAATTTCACATACAGATACTGAAACATTGTGCATATAAATTTACTTGATCAATTTAAGTTTTCTATTTTTATTAGAGACGCCAGGCATATAAGAGAGTAAAGCGTATGATCAACGGTCAGATCTGTATATAATACGCACCGTGTTACACGTACGTATATAGTAAAGTGACAAGACAAGGGCAAAGGGCAAAACAAATTCCACGAAGAAATGATATATCAAGGCAGACTTAAGGGCTTTTATTTTATTTTATTTTAAAAAACAAAATGTTACGAGCAATTTCGTAATCCGATGCAATAAACACTCAGACCATCAACAACTTTTGTGACTCGTTTTCACGTGACACTTCAAATATAGGATTTCCTTCTCCGCCCTTTGAATTAATTTGACTTTTTAACCAATGGACCGTAAATTGTAATATTGAAGAATAACACGGTTTAAATGCAATGGCATATTATAATCTTTTTAAATCTATCTCGACATCAAAATCCGATATTTAATATAGAAAGAACATTGTATTTGATCAAATGTAGGTATATATGCTTCGGTGGATTTTTTGTTTTTTGTTTTTTGTTTTACCTCCAGCAAAAAAATTAAGAAATGCTCCAATTAGAATGTTTTTCTACATCTATTCCCGGTCCAAACACTGCCATACATATATATATATATATATTCGATTTTTTTTTTTAAAAAAAAAGACAAGGCGTAGATGCAAGACACTTGTTGATACCGAAAAATATTTGATATATTCGAAAATTATATGCACCGTATATATGAAATATTCGAATAATCCTTTCGAGTTTTCGTTCGGCTCGCTTTCTTTTCTCTACTCATATTTTCAATAAAATAATGAAAGTATACTATCCACCACCTTTCTCTGTCCTCTTTGAGATAAAGCTAAAGCATGGGAAAAGCATACGAAAAAAAAGGGAAAAAAAATAAGAAAATTAAATAAAATCCGATCTAGAGAGAGAAATCAAAGCGAAAAAAGGAGAGAGAAGAGTTTGTCAAATACCCTCGTCAATACATCATCACAAAACATCTAAATTGAGTTTCGTTGAGTTTCTCTCTCTCTTTCCTCCCCCAAAAATACACAGCTACTTCAGCCACAGAAGCAACATTTCTCAAAGTTTCTACAAAGCCCTTGTTTTGGCCACGAGAGAGAGAGATCAGAGAGAGAGAGAGAGAGAATCTTGAAGGGAGGACATGAATAGAGCAGGGCTGTTAGAGAGCTCGCCGGTGCAGCAGCTGGTGGCGGCTGGAAACCCTAGCTGGTGGAGCATGAGCGGCGGAATCAGGCCTCCGCCTCCGTTGATGGGACATCAGCCGCCGCAGATTTCCCCTAATAGCTTCCTCCGGCCACCGCCGCCGGCTCTT